TGTCGCGAAAACGAACCACCAAGGATATGCTATTATCATTTCACCCTCGAATATTATACCGTACTTGGCGCGTGAGTATGATTGTTTTTTTTTTTCTATTTTATTTTCTTTAGCAAAGTACAATAAAATATAACCGTCCGTATACGATCTTGGATAGAAACCAAAATACTAAAACCAAGACTAAAGTTTTATTATTATTTTCCAGCGCTTGCCAAATATGCACGCCGAATGCAACGAATGTTGTCTGGAGCGAGTGTCAATGCGTTCTCGCCGATGGTGTGGAACGTGGTATTTTAACAGCCAACAGAATGGTACCAGGACCAAGTATACAAGTTTGTCAGGGTGACAAAGTGGTCGTCGACGTGGAAAATCATATGGAAGGTATGGAAGTGACCCTTCATTGGCATGGTGTCTTCCAAAGGGGTTCACAATATTACGACGGTGTACCATATGTTACACAATGTCCTATACAAGAGGGTAGCACCTTCAGGTAATTTATTATTTACTAGAAATGAAATTTTCATTTCATTTCGTTATAAATCGTAATTAGGTTTGTTATCAATGTCAAGATTATAAATTAGTCGGTTTCAATGATTATAAAAGGTATCAATGGACAGCTGGCAACGAAGGTACACATTTCTGGCATGCTCATACCGGATTACAAAAAATGGATGGACTTTACGGAAGTATAGTTGTTCGGCAACCACCCAACAAAGACCCTAACAGTAATCTCTACGATTACGATTTGACTACTCACGTACTTTTGATGAGCGATTGGTTCCACGAATACGCGGCTGAACGATTCCCAGGACGTTTAGCTGTTAATACTGGTCAAGCACCTGAAAGTGTTCTCATCAATGGAAAAGGACAATTTCGCGTTAGCATCGGATTTTTTGTTTTGTTTTATAATTATTAATATATCCACGTAATATATCCGTTGATATTATATTTCAATTATAGGATCCGAATACTGGTTTCATGACTAATACACCGCTAGAAGTTTTTACCATAACACCTGGACGCCGTTATCGTTTCCGACTTATCAATTCATTTGGATCCGTTTGTCCGGCTCAAATTACGTTCGAAGGTCACGCTTTATCTGTCATCGCAACCGACGGTGAATCCGTTCATCCAGTAAACGTGAACACCATCATCTCATTTTCTGGTAAGTTTGATACGCCTCTCATCCTAGTTTTTGTTTTTTATTTTTAAGAAAATTATTTTTAAAATATTATTATTTCTTTTTCGTTTTCTTTTAGGCGAACGTTATGACTTTGTGATAAACGCTGACCAACCAGTCGGAGCATATTGGATCCAAGTACGTGCACTCGGTGAATGTGGAATTCCGCGTGCCCAACAGTTGGCTATATTGCGTTATGCACGTGGCCCTTATCAACCAACTTCTACTCCACCCACGTACGATTATGGTCTTCCACAGGGTGTCGTAAGTACATATATATATATCAGATATTACAAATTCGAGAATTACTTTTTGTTTTCTTTTCAATATCGTTCACCTATAAACGTTTCTCTTTAAAATCGTTGATGATGAATTATGATATAGAAAGGAAAATTTGTTCTCACGATTCTAGGTATTGAATCCACTCGATGCCATTTGCAATCGTCCCAGAGAAGATGCTATTTGTGTTAGCCAATTGAAAAACGCTCGTCACGTAGACGAAGGTATTCTACAACAACGTCCCGACGTCAAAATATTCTTGCCATTCCGTTTTCTATTCTACAGACCGGAAGAAGTCTTCCAACCCCAAACCTACAATCGTTTCTTAGGTAAAAAAGAATAAAGTGATGATTAATTCTAACACACGGGGAGTGGGGGGGCGGATAAAAACCCTATTTTGTATTTTTTCGTTTACGTTACATCTTATATAATATTATTTCTAATGATCGTGTTCTCAATCGCGATAATTATTTTAGTTGCACCGACTGGAGACCATGTGATCTCACTCGTAGACGAGATATCTTTTACGTTTCCACCAGCACCGTTACTTTCGCAAATCGATGATATACCACCTGAACAATTTTGCAATGGTGATAACAGACCGGCCGATTGTGGTGCTAATTGTATGTGCACGCATCAAGTTGATATACCACACAACGCGGTTGTTGAAGTTGTACTCGTAGACGAGGGTAAGTTTCATTGATACGTATTAAGAAATTAATATTAATAATAATTAAGAAATATATAATCAATTATATATAAATAGAGAAAGACAATAAATGCAATTTTAAAATGTTTTTCTTTAAACAGTACAACAACCAAATTTGTCGCATCCGTTCCATTTACACGGATACGCGTTCAACGTGATCGGTATTGGTCGTTCACCCGATAAAAACGTAAAGAAAATTAATTTAAAACATGCGTTGGATTTAGACAAGAGAGGATTACTTCACAGACAATTTAATTTACCACCTGCCAAGGATACCATTGCTGTGCCAAACAACGGTTACGTTATTTTCAGATTCCGTGCCGATAATCCAGGTAAATGTTCATCGTAAAAATCTTTATCACATTATATCTAACATATTTTCTTATCGTAATTATTATTTCATTTATATAATACTTTGTTTTCTTCCCAACAGGATATTGGCTCTTCCATTGTCACTTCCTCTTCCACATATTGATCGGCATGAATTTAATTTTACACGTTGGTACGCACGCGGATCTTCCACCTGTACCACCGAATTTCCCAGTTTGCGGTAATCACTTGCCACCTATAACACCGCCATTACCGTTAGATAGCTTATATCATTGATTGTTCGGCTAGAAAAAATAGATACAAAAAAAAAATCAAAGGAAAAAAAGAACAAACAAACGAATAAGAACTTTCTTTTTTTTTTTTAAATCGAAATCGTTCAAAGCAGCGTAAAAGTTAATTTGTATAATATATTTTTGTAAGGTATTCGTTTATATCTCCTTTTCATTTTTTGTTTGTTCTTTTTCTTTCCTTTTCTTTTCTTCTATCTTTGTTTAATTCGCTATAATTCGGTGGGTTATTCGGTAATCTTACGTAGTCTAATAAATTAGTCTAATAATATTCACGTATCGATCCTAAAGACCGATTCGAACCAAATCGATTTTCACTCGAATCGTGTCGGTCTTTTTAGGACAGGGGGTTGTTTTTTTTATTTTATTTTTTTTTTTTGTTTTTTTGTTAAACGATCCTTCGATTTCCAAGCTTTGTATCTCGATGTTGAGCATTTGGAAATGAAGTTTTAGGATTGAATCCGCTCATTATTCGAGTGATTCAATAAGAGTTCCACTAACTACAATGCATTTCAACATTTTGTAAATAATTGTAGAAATAGTCATTACGTTTTAACGAGATATTAACAAGGATTAGGAGCAACGGGGAATATAGTGACTTAGAAGACACCATAGAAAGAGAGAGAGAGAGAGAGAGATTTGCAGTGAGGGTGGGAGAGGGAAGAAGTGAATATTAAATAGGTCATATACATCAATTCTCGATTCTCGATTTTTACGAATGAACGAACGAACGACTCATGTAACCATCGATAAATCGAGATTTCATAATTGCGCTTATTGATTAGTTAGGGGAAAATAAAATGCGCGCTAGCGTAACGAGCCAACGTTAACTGTGGAAATGTATTTTTATGTGTATACGTGTTCTAGCGTGGCTCGCGACATGCATAAGTCAAAGTTGCATTTTAATATAGCACTACGTGTTAAAGCGTAATATCAAGGTTATTATAATACCTTCGAATTTCCATCGATGTAAGATCTATGAGAAGAAGAAGAATCCTATGTTGATTGTTATACGCATATAGAGGTCTTAGGATATTGTTTTGAAACGGTAATACCATTAATCGGATTCTAATTGTTGCCTCTTTTGTTAACTATAAATCAAATCACATAAAAAAGTGAATTATTTTTGAGAGAGAAAAAAAAATTTTGACAAATTTGTGAATGAAATTAGAGATTATATTTTGTTTAACGCGTTAATATTTTTAATGGAACTTTAATGCAACCCTTTTTTTTTTTTTTTTCTTTTGTAGACCCTTTTGCGATCACGATTACTGCTCCGTTGTATTTTATTTCATTTTTCATCTTCTTCTTCTTCTTCTTCGTCTTCTCTTCTTCGTTTCTTTTAGAAAAAATAAACAATGCTCATATTGTTTGCAATGTCGCGAGTAAAAAGCTTGCACCAACGCGATCTATAAGTATATATATATATATATATATATATATATTAATATATTTACTTACGCGTTTTTGCGCGCTCACGTAATATAATGTAACAGAATTACATTATAAATTCACTTGTAGATAAAGATCTAGAGTCACCTATTAAAAGTACGCTAGAATATTAAAAGATTATCCTTAATTAATGCTTAAAATCGATAAGATCTAACGCATATTTTCGTACGATTTCTAATTGTTAATGTGTTGACACGTCTTTTTCTTAAGTCAACATAAAAGTATGTGTCATTTTTTTAAGAGTGAAGAAAGTGTTCCTGGCAATTTGTTTGATCTATTTTTAACTTTATTCATTATTCTTACCTCTTGTTTTATTATTTAATCTATTTCAATTTTGTAATACGGACGTTTAGTAACTAAACGTAAAAGTAGTTACTTAATTACTTTTTTCTATTTAGAGATTCTCTAGGAACATTTTCTTACGATTGTTGATGATAAAGTATATGTAACTATAATAAACCGTTATATATATATATATGTATAAAAATCATGGAAGATATAGTTTTAATGAAGACTTATACATTTTTATTATTGATTCAATAATCCTTTGTACTATATGTATAATAGCAATCGATAAAAAAAAGAAAGTGAAATTCTTGTTGAATTATTAATACTGCACGAGAAAGAAAATCTGACTTTCTATTGATCTTCTTATTCAACATTTCCATAGGTGAGTATATTTTAATTTATCAAACTTATTTTTCTTATTATATAAATAATTATAATATAACTTATAATAGTTGTGTGTGCACAAATACGCAAATTAGTTTCTATAAAGTTTATTATATTTTTTTCTTTTTTTGATTGATTTTTCACAAGTACAAAGTATAAAATAGTTTGCAAGTAATGTGTCATTTATCACACATTCGTTCATTAAAAAATATCGTCTAATTATTACGACATTAATTTTTAGTATAAGTAATAACAACAGTCGGCATGCATACGTACGTACATGTAGAAAACAATTTTAATTAGCGTATTACACGATTATCGATATAAAAATACTTATTAATACAAGATTATATTGTTCTCTTTTTTTTGATATATCGTGTTGTTTGAAAAATTTTAAATGCTACTAACGATCAACGATATTGTTATATGCATTACGTTTCATGATATTATTTACAATAAGCATTCACTCGTCGTTGCTTAATTAGAGTTAATATTGCGACAAAAGAAATATTATTGCTAAGTTTGACTATACTCTTTATGACTGTTATATAATACAATACATGCAACTTGCTACGAAAACGATAGGTTTTCGTAAACGATAACTAAAATCGCATTTGAAAAAAAAAAAAACAAGAAGAAGAAAAAGAAGAAGAAGGAGAATGAAAGAATGAAAAAATATTCGTTAACTAAATGAACATATTCGTAAGAGTTGACAAGAGTTGACAAGAGAACAATCGTAGAGACGTTTAGTAATATAGAGAATTACTTAAAAAAAAAAAAAATGACGTACACAACAGTACTATGGATGAATTAGCAACTATATATGATACTTAATCTATTATATAAAAGTATACTAAATGTTAATATTATATTTATTTGTTTTCGGCGTTTAAGTATCTGTTCATCAGCTGTCGATTTCTTCTAAAGAATAGAAGAAAAAGAAGAAGAAGAAGAAAAATGTTCTATTAAAAGTGAATCAATGAACGAACATAAAACGTATCAATCATCGAAGTAATGAAATTAATTAAAACAATCGTGAGCATTATTTTCCAGAATAATGTGAGCCCATATTCGATGGTGGACCTCTGTGATGATGATGATGATGTTGCTTTTGTCCAGGACCAGAAAATCTGCTACCAGGACGAGAATGAACTATAGCATAATGATCGCTGTTAGTTGATATCGACCTTGTTGAATTCATCGTTGAACCACCAGAAGCGTATCCTTGTTTGCCGTTTAACGAATATCTATAATGATTGTACAAATAAAATCAATATTAATAATTTAATTATTAATTATTACGAGAATACGTTTAAATGATATTAACACTTCGAGCGTTTAACTTATACTGAGACTTTTCAATCTGAGACTTTGAAATATAAACAAAATAATGTTTGTTTGTATGTATACTGTAAACTCAATTTTAATCTTCGATCAGGACGGATAACAATAATAGTTCACGCTGACGTGCCGAGTAGATACATTTAACGTTTAATTTATCTATTTATCTGAACAAAAAATTACAGAGGCTTTTAAATGAAAATAAAACTATTCAATTTTAACCCTTTACACACACCAGAATGATATAAACATATTTAAATTTTAATATTCTTAACGTCTATTAAATAATATTGTATCATTTGTACGCAATATATGTACGTACCTAATAGAAATATTTGTAATGAAATTGAACGCAGTTTAGAAAGTTGAACGTATGTATCGGAAGACACGTTTACGAGTATATTAACGTTCCGTTCTGATCTTATAAAAAAGAAAGGATTTGTGCCAACCCAGTTGTGTTTCTCAACAACGTCATTGATTGATTCGTTGTTACGAAACAACGTAAGCCGCAATAAGAATTTAATTAAATCAAACCTCGACCCGTATTGAGAACCGTGCCAGCTACGGTAAGGATCGTAATCTTCAATCGATGGCTCCTTTTCGATAATGTCGGTTTGAGAACAGCTACAGGTCATAGCCGAGCATAGGAATATGTTAATGATTAGCATTATTAAAAACAAGATTCCTAGTGCTACTGCCAACCACAACAACCATAACGGATGGATACTGCCCTCTTCGTAGGAAGCTTGCACCACTGTCAAGAAAATGTTTTATTTAATATGTATATAACTTAGTCAAAAAATTAAATCATCAATTAATTTAATAGGTCAATTATTTCTAGTATATATCATTATTACAGATAATCTTCTTTACGTGGAATGAAATCATATGTTTTTTAAAAGTTTAATATATAAATATATTAATTTTGATATAAGAACACGCTCTCGGTAAATTTATATTATATTAGAGAATTTAAAATTAGATATAATTTAAAAATTATAATTAAATAATAATACCTCGAATCTAAAATAACTTACTAGGTTTTTCTCCTGGATCGAGAACATAAACGCTAGTACCGGCAAGTAGGATTCCTTCTTCACCGACTACGTTTTGTCCACTGATAGAAGAAGTGCCTCCTTTTATTCCTTCGTCCTTGTCATCATCGCATATCGGAGTTCCACAACTTCCTAACGAACGATTACGAATTTTAATCAACAATTATATTCATTAATTAATTTAACACGATATATTTGATAAAGGAATAATATTTGTAAACATATTTCCGCGTAGAAATACGAAACAAACTATAATAGTTAAGTTCAGTTACGATTTAGATCATTTATTTTACTATACGTAAATTAAAATGATCCCGCGTTTAGGGATATAGTAAATAAAATCTTTAATGACCGTCGGTTGGTACACGATTATTTAAATATTTTGAATCACATTAGATGACCTAGATTCTCTCGTTAGTCGTTAATTTCATTGATAGAAATCATTTCATGGTATAGCGCTTTATGGTGGTATGCTCACCTCTGCAAACAGCTATGTCGCATTGAAAATGCACTTGTGGACTGTCAGAAAAGCGGAACATGGAGAACAATGTGGCATCCGCTGTCCCGGTGTTTCGATCGTATATAAATTTCGTCATGACTCGCGCTTTAACGGGACATCTGAAAACATGGGTGACGGGGAAGAGGAGGAAGAAGAACGACGTTTTAAAGATTGTTTTGCAAACAAAAAAAGAACAAAATTGTAATGATCTTGTTCGAGTATACTCACCCCCTCTCGTCGATCAATTGTACGCTAGCATTTTTTTTGTTGAACGCAAAACAAGATTTTACCCTGATACCGTAGGTTCCTGCGAAACGAAAGGAGTAACTCGTAAAAAAAGAAAAAAGTACAAGGAAAATTATGCAAGAGACACGGTTAGGTTAGCCAACCCGACCCGCTTTAACCAGCGTCTCAAAATGGGAAAACACACGTCGTATAATAAAACGTAATACTGACCATCCGGACGAGAGATTTCTGCTCTTAGGGTATAGTTGTGACCATAAATAGCTTCTTGAACTCTACGAGAACCGTCCAAGAGTCTTAAGGACACCAACGATGTTTCGTTCCTTGAGAAAATAAACGTAACTTTTAATTAATCGTAACTATTCGTATATATGTAGAATAATATATAAGCTAAATACTACACACACGTTACATTTAACGCATAAGAACCCAAGATATTATAAATTGAACAAAAATAAATGAGTATAATTATATCTCTTCGGATGTTGCCGGTATTTTTCTTCTTAATCTTAACTTACTTAGCATTTTTAAAACCCGCTTTGCCGCACGTGATAACGTAAAATTTATCATCGGCAAGTTCTAACGTCTTGTGTATCCTTACAGCTATTGGTACCGATCGTTCTTCCGTATTCTGTAATATTAAACACAATATTTTTATGTATTTATACTTATCATTATTAATATAAAATTTAACAAAAACGATTAAACTGTCGACAAAATAGAAAAATTCTATTTGATTGCATTACATATTTAACAACCATGCATCGTTTAACATGTAATAGAAAGTTACATATATATATATATTATTATTTCTATTTGACATTCTTACGTTGTTAACGAGTACTCCACAATAATCCGGTGCTTCTTTTGTTGCAAGTAGGTTTATCCCTAGCGTGGCGTGATTAGAACCATTTCCGGGTACCATACACTGAGGCCTCCGATAATCCCTGGCGTGAACCGCACCTACGAAGCTCTGGTTGAGATTCACGCGAATCGTCATATAACCGGCTTTGCACGTCGCCGTTACCGTCGGTTGAAATTCCGTGTCCAATAATTGACCGCCGACCTATGTATGCAAAAGGATATATAAGTAGTAATAGTAGTAAGTAAGTAAGGTAGGTAGGTAGGTAGGTACGTACGTAGGTACTTACATACTACGAGGAAATATTAGACGCACCTTTTTACCCGTTAATTACTACGATCTACGACTATGATCGTTTGGATCTTACCTATAGGATCTATATCTACTTTTACTATGGTACTACTATACTACTATGTAGTATTATATAGAATCTATTACATATTTCTACGTACTAAGAGAGAAAGACCTCCTAGGTATTCGAATATCCTTTTTTTTTCTTTCTTTTTTTTATTCTTTATTATATGACGACTAAATCATTGTAATTAATATTTTAAATAGTAACTATATGTTACTTGTTTCAATCTTCTTTTTCTTTTTCTTTTTCTTTTTTTTCTAACAAGGTTAGTTTGAATAAGACTCGAAAGTTGTAATTAAATGGTATATCGAATCGCATAATCTAATCTTTTAAGTCAAGGATATAACTCGAGGTGGTTTAAGAAGGGGGTATAAAATGTATATATATATATATATTTTTTAAAGAACAAAGAGACACAAACGGAATATAATTGTATGTATATAAATCAAGAATATTAGTGGCTTAAGAAAATGATTGGCAATGTCTATAACAAATTTCAAAAGGTATAGTAATAGTATGGAGGAAGAAAGTAGGGACATTTTCTTGTTCCAATCGGCGACTTAATGGACAAGTAAAGTTAGACCGGTCTGGGCGGTAGCCAAGCAACCCACGCTAACTTTCAATTTCATATGCCGCGTCTGTGAACCACTTCTACTAACTCCGATAATATAGTATTATATTGTATGTATGTATGTACGTGTGTGTGTGTACGTATATAAACGAAAATCCGCGCGGAGAGAAGACGTGCCAAGAAGTTTTACTCGTAGAGCTCGAAAGATCTTTCTTCGCGTGGGTGTATTTTGCAAGGACACGAGCCCTAAATGTTCCCTTAGTCGTATATCAAGTGAAGGATGCGCGATCGTAAGTTAGAAAAGAATGATGGTTCCTCTTATCCTTAAAAGGGGGAATCTGATTCTCCTTTTGAAATCGGATCCTCGTTACTTTTCGAATGAAACGTGACACAACGTTTAAATCGTTTTCGACGATTAATTTTATCCCCCTACCCTCCTCGCCCCTCTTTTTTACTTTCTTTCTTTTGTTTACTTTTATTTTCATTTGATTTCGATTTATTTATTATGCATTTTCATATTTTATAGTTATCTGTCGATTAATTGAAATGACACATTTCTTTTCTGGTTTTGTTTTGTTTTGTATTATAAACGTGATCGTCATTTCAATTTGAATATACGTGAGGATTTAATTAGTTAAACGAATTTGGACGTAGTCGGGTAATTATTTAACTATCGAATTCACGGTCACACCGGGTTCGTTTTAGTTAGGCCAAAAAAGGAATGCTATAAGGATTGTGGATCGGCGACGTGATGTAATCAGAATTCCTGTGGAACGCGCCATGAGTGTACGCACTTAAAATAACGCTTACAGTGACGAAGAAAAAGAGAAAGAAAGAGAGAGAGAGTAAGAGTAAGAGAGAGAGAGAAAGAGAGAAGTGGAATGAGAGGAAGAGAAAGGCAAACAGAAAATTACGTTCGCCAATGAAAATATTTGCACGTCTATTAAACGCGCTTTAGTAAAAGCCGAGTGAAACCGATTCTATTCGGTTCTACGAAATTTAAGAATAATCGTTTAACGCGTAAATAAAATTGTTCATCTTTAACACACGAAAACATGAAATTGTACTCTTTACGATTCTTACCATTATTAATTTAATGTTAATTTGATGTAAAAGTTTAGTTTTTTTTTTTTTTTTATTACACATTAATTTATCATATTTTATAGAATAATAATTAACGAACCGCGCGGATCGATGTATGTAAAGTTTAGTTAATATTAAAACAGTGAAAAAAAAAGAAAGATTATTATTTATCGAATTATGAATTATAAATTTTTTTTATACGAGTTTAAGCTCTCGATAGTAAAGAGAAAGAGATAATAAGAAAGCGAGAACGTGATATATGTTGGAAGAATTTGTCCGAATCACCCCATATACACGCATATCCTTACGTATCGTATTTTTCATCGTTGAAATAGAGAATTTCGCGGTATCGCTAAGTTCGATCGATGCTAAGAAGAATTACGACGTGCGTCTAAGAAATAATTAGAAGAGTTGAATGTAAAAGGAAAGAAAATGAGTTGAGATAGGCGGAGGGAGTAGGGAAAGATGGAATGAAAAATAAATAGAGAAATAAACAAAGACAAATTTGTAAAAAGAAAATTTAAAGAAATAGGAAGTGAGATTTACTAAAGTTTGCGTGCTTTATCGAAATATGCAATTTATATAGTGTTGCTTGGTAATAATATTGTATTAAAGATTTATCTCTTATAAGTTTTCAACTTCTTTCCTTATTTATTTATTTCTCTTTTTCTCTCTTTCTCTCTCTTTCTCTCTATCTCTATCTCTCTTTCTATGTTTCTACGTGGAAGTTTGAATGCATTCCGATAATGCACACCCAAGTACAAACATGCAAACCACGAGATTCGACCGCAGAAGTATATCGTTTGCAGAACGTTAATCATTCATTTTTTGAACCTTATCTTTTTCTAGTTCTAAACTTGATATATTTTTTCCTCTTTACTTACTATTTATTGCAAACCCTAAAAATGAATAAAGTTTCGGTGATAAAAAGAACGAAAAGAAAAAAAAAAGTCATAATAATTATCATTTTTCTCATTCTGTATAATATATACCTCTCTATATTATACCAAAAAAAAATAAATTTAAATTTATAATAAATAAGTATCGTAGGGAATTTGGACATTGCTGAAGAAGTCCCAATAAAAGGACGCGAAACGTCCAATTAATCAAAACGAAGTTCTAGTTCTTTTGAATATCCAAATTACCTACGATACCTATTTATTAATAATTTGATTTTTGGAGAGACGAGAGAAAAACAACTAATTTAAATTTATATACTTATTATTGAAATGAATATATTAAATTTTTTAGATAAAACTTTTCAAAGGATTTTCCAAGAAAATTATTTAAATTGTTTTAATTACAACGAGAATTTTTAAGTAGTACCACCGACCAGAGTGAGATAATCGAAGAGTTTAACTGCAGCGTATGCAACGAATGCACCGAAGGAGAAAAGCATTCTTTGCTCTTTCGTCTCTGGAAGAAAAGAAGAAGAAGAAGAAAAGAAGAGGTAGAAGAGAAGAAGAGCAAAGGGCCCGGAATTCTCTCGTCAGCGTTCCTTAGACTTCTTGGTCGACAGAAAGAATATGAAGAGAGAGAGGGAGAGAGAAAAAGAGAGAAAGAAAGAAAGAAAGAAGAAGAAATAAAGAGAGAGAGAAAAGAAGAGAAGTAGAGGGGAGAGGACCCAGTCTCCGGAATTATCCTTCGAGGAAAAAGGAACGCAAAGTCAAAACGTATGTTATTGACCCTTGCCTCGTTTGGACTCGTTGGTCTAACCACTTTCTTCCCCTTTTTATTTCCTCCTTTCTTTTTTTTTTCTTTTGCATTTTGTTTTTTCCCCTTCTTTTCTTTCTCTCTCTCTCTCTTTTTATTTTAAAACAACGTAAGACTCAAACCCGAACGGACCCCGCGGGGAATTTTTGTCAAAAGAAGGCTCGCATCTTTTCTTATTCTTCTTCTTCTTTTTCTTCTTCTTCTACTTCTTCATCTTTCTTCGTTCTTTATCTTTCTTCATTCTTGTTTCTTGTATCTTTGCTGCCTCGAAGATTCAAAGAGAGAAAAGTACGAAGGGATTTATGAAGACATTGTTCGGAGGGAGGGCAAAGAAGAAGAAAGAGAAGAGGAGGAGGAGGAGGAGGAGGTTCCACTATCTATTGCTTAAAATACATACACACGGGTAAAGGTTGTTACCTGAAGTATAAAAGTTAAAGTCTTATTAACAAGTACCGTCTTATTTTGACGTATTTTATGGTCTTGAGTTAATCTTGCGAATGTTAATTCTACATCACGCGTGTTTGATTCATTTACCGTGATAATAATTCTAAATATGAAGAAAATTACTAATTTTATTTATTTCCAATTTTTTTGTTTCTTTTTCCAATAATACATAAGCCGTTTAAAAGTATAGTAAGTGATATTATTTGATTAATACGATTAAAATTATATATCGTTTTCTCCTATGGGTATGATGTTTTTTTTTCGTTTTCTTTTTGTTTTTAAGAAAGTAAGTATCACGAAGTGGAAAAGGTTGATAAAGACGATACGAAAGAAAGAAAGAGAGAGAGAGAGAAAGTTAGATTTTTACGACACGCAAGAGTACTTCGCGTTAATTAAGGGATTGATCGATTAATCAGGAACATGATGAGGTTCGTGTAGTCCACGCGTTAATGAGAATTCAATGAACGTAAGTATAGTTAATACCGCGTGATATACGAAAGTAATAAATCCTTAACGCAAGAATAATTTCACGTTATCGGATCAAAACTCGTGGCTATTCGATCGTTAATTAATGGTCTCCCCTCTACCACTCAAACCCCCCACCCCATAATAGTCCCCCTTTATCGATATCATGTCGTACGTTATTTCCTATTTCTCTCTCATTTCTACATTTGAACTTTTATTACGTTGGTATTTCTCTCATTTTTTATCCTTTTCTTTCCATTTCTCCCTTACCCCCCCCCTCTCTCTCTCTCTCTCTCTCTCTTACGTTATTCGATGCTCTCGAAAGCGTGTAGAGTGAAAGCAACGTATTAGTAACTTTCCACGGTTATGGCTTATCAGATTACGGATAGATTTTAATTCCTTCTCTCACATCATTCCATTTCTATCTTCTTTTTCTCATTCCCCTCCCCCTAACCCCCGAAGAAAATTATCTCAAAGGCGACAACGTATCAAATGCATCTGGTCGAGGCGAGAAAAGAAACCTAGTAATTTCTCTACCTTTTTTTTTTCTCTATATTTTTCTTTTAATTTTTA